CCCACCAGCCACTCCTCGGAAGGAAGATGGGGCAATCTACTTCCATAGTGATACTGCCTCGGAAACCCAAGGAGGGGTCGCTATGAGTTGGGTCCTTCTCGATGGCACATAACAACAACAACAACAACAACAGAATATTATTAGAATCAGCAACTCATAATTTTTGGTTTTTAGTCTTTCACGTTACCTGGTTGCTCTAACTATATAACAGTTCTATTTTCAAAAAAATCTCAGAACTCTAAACTTGAACTTACGTTTAGTGATAACCAAGATGAACTTATGTTTAGTGATAACCAAGATTATTGATAATATTTAACAGCAACCAGCAAACAGGTATTTGTGATTCGAGCTTTTAGAAGAGTTTTCTTTCTCAAGTTTAATTGTACTTTCCCCCCAATGAAATGGAAGAGACTGATACATGCTCATTTCCTGCTTCATTATCCAACTTGATATTTTAATAGAGAGAATAAACAGGAAGTACAGACTTGAGTCATCAGTCATCAGTATATTCTCTTTTCCCCAAATTTTTTGGCAATAGCTTTATTGAGATATCATTCACCTACCATACAATTCATCGATTTAACATGCATAAATCTGTGGTTCTTAGTATATTCACAGAGTTCTTCGATCCTCATCACTATCTAATATTTTCATCACCCCAAAAAGAAACCCTTTACCCTTGTATCTTTCAAACCCCCATCCCACAGCCCTGGCCAACAACTATCTACTTTGTGTCTCTAGATTATTTGCCTTCTGGGAACATTTCACATATACTATGTGATCCTTCATGACTGGCTTCTTTCGCTTAGCATGTACTGTTTTCTAGGATCATTCATTTAGCATGTATGAGTACTTCATTCCTTTTGATGACTGAGTAATATTCCACTGCAATAGACATACCATATTTTGTTTATCCATTCATCAACTGACAGACATCTGGGTTGTTTCCACTTTTTGGCTATTAATGAATAATGCCACTATGGACACTCATTCAAACAAACAAATAATACAAAACAGAGCAAGCAAAGTTAATGTTTTCTATTAATCCATCCTAGTGAAATATTTTTACACATCTAGGGCATCCTACAGCCAGCTATGACATCGATCAACATTTAAGCCTCCAAAGGGTATTGTCTCAAAGAAGAAAATTTAGGGGTCAGAGGGAGACAATGGAAGATTTTTCTTTATTAAGCAAATATCATAAATAATATGAAAGCCAAACCTAAGGTATTTCATAATCTTGAAGAATGAGTTCCTATCAATAGCCACATTTTCTCCAGCAACCTGAAGAACAGAACTTTAAAACAATTTTTATTGGCACTATCGCTAAAGAGCACTGTGTACTTCTCAGTCTTTTAGTATAGAAGATAATGAATATATTTTAAGTTTATCTAGATGACAGAGTTATCTGCAAATCATCTTTCCCTTTTCCACTGGCACTTTTGTAACAGGAAAGTAGGTTCTTTGTCATAAATCTCTAATGTTTCCCAGCTGCTCTTAAATAAAGTCCAAACCATTGGCACAGCACTGAAACTCCTGTGTGGTCTAGAAGCTAGAGCAGGGGTTCTCAAAGTGTGGTCTTCAGACCAGCAGCATTAGCATCAGTTATCACCTGAGAACTTGTTAGAAACACAGATTCTCAAGGCTTCATTACAGACCTACTGCGTTACATACTCTGGGGGTGACTTCAGCCATCTATCCTTTCACAAGTCATCTATGTGATTGTAATGCAACATTAACATTGAAAACCTCTAGTTTAGATACACTTTTCCTTTCTAATCTTGCCCTCTTTCCTCATTATTGCCTGTGACTTACATTTAAATCAGACCACTAATATTACTTGAAAAGGCCATGTATGGCAATGCTTCTCTCTGCCTTTTCAACCTGCTGCCTCTGGAAATTCATGTCTTCTAAACCCAGTTCAAAGGCTACTCCCTTTGTGAAGATAGCCCTGAATCCTCCTCTTCCTGTCCATACTTATTTCATGCTTCTTTTGTTTGATTCACCATCCTGTCTTTGGAGAAAGTCAGTTCTTTGTACACCTGTCTTCCCTCAGTGGACTGTTGGTTATTTGAAGGAGCTTTGAATCCTCTGCAACGCAACTTAGCACTGTGGTTAGACAATGAAGATTCTCAATAAATAATTAGAAATAATTAGGGCAGGCTGTATATTTTCAGTTAGATGCAAGCTAGTACTAGACCAAGTAACTGCTTTACTGAGCAGCGCCTGTTGGTGTGATTTCAGTATGACTCTACATAAGTGGCTGCCACGCCCCCTGCCCTCTTGCTCAGGCCCTTACCCTCCATCACACACATGACAGAGGTACTTTTATGGGTCATAGTAGCCTTTTGGCTCCAGCATCTCCTCCCTCTGTTCTGCAGAGATGCTCTAACTTGGGTCTCATCTATATAAAGTCTGATGCTCACCACCCTCACTGCAACATCTACTCATGCCAGTTGTTTCCTGCTTTCTTTACTTCTACCTACCTCTTTATTGGGAGCTCTGATAGCATAGTGCCTAAGGCACTTGACTGCTAACCAGAAGGCTGGCAATTCAAACCCACCAGCCACTCCTCGGAAGGAAGATGGGACAAACTGCTTCCATAGTGATACTGCCTCAGTAACCCAAGGAGGGGTCGCTATGAGTCGGGTCCAACTCGATGGCACATAACAACAACACCTTCTTTATTGCCCTCGCTCCCTCAGTGGCTTCTCCACACCTCTCAGTTTTATGGTGAAAGGGTAGAATTTGGGAGATGGTACAAATGAAGTATAAATCAAACAGAGCTACCATAGTTTATCTTCAGGCTTTAGGTTCATCTTGCTGGTGTGTCTTTTATTCCTTCTGCTTCACAGAAAGTTAGTGCTAGGAGGGACCTCAACTATTATTCCAATTTCATTATTGTACAAGTGAGGACACTGTAGTTGGGAGGTACTGAGTCACTTGGTCCATGCTCTTTCTCATTAAAGAGCTATTTTCCTTCTAATTTTAGGCCTGAAGTCTTTGTGGAAACTTAAGGGTTATGGACATCTAACAGAAAACAGTCAAGCACTTTAAATACTTTATATCTCCAGGTCCCTTGGAATGATGAGGATAAGATGAAGATCCATGTATTTTAGGGGATAATGTTCACATGTGGCAATAAGGACTGCAAAATTAAAACTAACTCAGTTGGACATATACCTCTGTGTTCTCCGTACTTCAAGAGATAAAAAAGAACCAGAAAATTTAATTTCTGTCTTTTTGTAAGCTTTAATGGTTACATTTTAATCATACTATCATTGTCTGCTGTATAAAACTCATTTTCTTTACATTTATACTTTTTATTTTTACCTGAAAACATCATCATGTGTTGAAAATTCCAGCCAATCTTATGCCTTCTGCCCAAGTTGAGGAAGAAGGAGAGCGGGTAGATATGTGCAGCTCTGCCCAGGAAGATGGCAACCTGACCACCAGGTGGATGTTAAGGACCCAAGAGTTCCAGAATGGCACTTTCACACAGCCTCTGATTGAGCAGAGCATTTTAGGAATGCCATGGTAGCTTGCGATGATCAGGAGAGCTGCACGAAGAAGCCAAGATGTTTAGTACCCCTCTAAACAAATCTCTTAGTGAGTGGAATCCAACTGGCCAACATACCCAACTTTGTAGTTCATAGAATTAACTTCTAGCCCAATACACTGTTGCAACTTCTTGATTTAATCAAACTGATATTGACCAAGTCTCTAGTCTATCTAAAAAATCAGTTTAGATATAAGCTCAAATACCACAGCAAGGGTGGGGCGTTGAGAGAAGTTAACAATGTGTTGGGCTCTACTAGAAGAAAAATAAGAAGTATAAAAGATCAGCTGCTGATTCAAAATATAAAGAGAAAGTTTGCTGGGTAAGCGTTCACAAGCGCACTTAGAAATAAACATCAGGGACTCTATGACCAGAAAGTGCCTGTGAATAAGAAGAGAGGGAAACAAAATATTTGTAACACTAAGATACATTCAAATCATTTACAAGTATCCACCTGGGGAAATTTCTCTACCTAAATGGCTAAAATGGCTTTCTATGTAAAAAACAGAAAAGCGGGGAGCGTGGAAGAGGAACTCTACTGTGGAAACCAAAGAATTCAGGGAAATGGGTCATTCGTCACTTGCTGAGTTTAGAACAGAGGCCAGCACAGAGTTCTACACCGTGGGAGCAAGAGGAACAGGGAGCTTCCGTTTAGGCAAAGCACCAGCTGCAGAAGCTGCAGCTGTTTCAGAAAGACGTGAGGGCGGAACTATCTTCCGCCTCCTCCAGGGTAAAGCACTAACTATTTTTCTTTCCTTTTGTTTTATTTTAACAGAAAGAATAATGTAGTGCTTATGAAGCACATTCAGTCCCAGAAGCAAAGTAAAAGCTCTTAAGCCGCAAGAGGCGTTGGGGATTCACAGACTGCAGCAAGGATGATCCAGCTCACCCTCTGACACGGCCCTCGTCTGTAAACAAGGGCTGCAGATCTCAGTATCTCTCTCACAGGATGTCGTGCTAGGAATAAAAATGAAAACAACATTCGAGTCTTTCTTAATGAAGTTTATAAAACAACAACAACAAAACAAAAAAACTCTGGTCCCTCACATTTCTAGCTATTAATCTGTTGAGGGAATAAATCCATGAAATGAGCCACCAGTTTACGCATATGAACATTCTAACTAGAAGGATCCAGCATCACATTAGGGCCACTATCACTATCTAGGTGCTCTGCTCAGTGGGTATCAGTTACTGCTGCACAGTAAATGAAAAGCCCAGAGGAGAAAAAAACACTCCTGTTCTGTCAGCATTCCAAAACCTGAGGATACCCATGAGTCCTCAGAAAAGGCAAAAGTAGACGGCTAGCACTAGGGGACTCCTGCTGAATAACTTGAAATCAAGGCTCAGCTGGATTGCTATAGCTCCAAGTTCACCGTAATGAAAACAACAGTATCTAAGGTCAAGTGAGCACAACTCTCAGCTGTTGGCCCATTTCTAGGCATCCCTATCCCTCTTCAGTTGAGAGAAGGCCTTCAAAAATGTGTCTCTCTTCCAAAAACTGCACTAACAATGGGACTAAATCAAGGAACCAAGTATTCTTCCATTTTATCTTTTTTATCTCTTTTTTTTTTTGTATAATTATGAGCACAGTTTTACTATAGCAAAACTATACAAACCAGAATCAGCCAAACCTTCCTCTTTTTTTAGCCAAAAGAGTAATTTCTGCCATGACTATAGCATTAGGTAAGCTAAGATGAAATAGCATGGTCACTGCCCGTAGGCTTTCCTGGGCAGAAGGAGGAAGGGCTGCCCACGCTGGGTACACAGTCAAGAGCAAGAGGAACAGAGCCTTCAGGTCATCCAAATCAAAGAACCTCTGAGGTTGGAATTCAGGCAGCAATGAAATCTCAAAAATAATTCTGGGGACTGACAGGGTGGCTGACTTTTTGATTTGCTAAAAAGTGCTAAAAAGACAAACTACCACCTGCCAAGTAGCATCTTTCCAGAAAAGCCACCTTACACAGAAAATGGAAAAAGGACCATTTTAGAATAAATGTCTTTTCTTTAAATACATTTAACTTTATGAAATCCCTCTTAGGTATTATTTTTCTCATCATAAAAGCATCATGAACTAGCACTGGCCACTCACCCACCCAAACCACTAGCTTCCCCAGTAGTAGTCACCTCTCCCTGTAGAAAATGGTGAAACTAAAAAAGGATACAAAAGCTCCAATGATGAAAATGGGGCTGAAAACATGCTTCTGGAAGGTAAACAGCGCCAAGCCCATATAGGAGAAGATGAAGTTCTCTGCCAGGAAGTGCAACACCTCAAAAAGCTGCATGGAGAGGGGAAAAGGCAGCTGTAAACCCTGCAGTTCAACCTTCCTTGTATTGACAGGTAACTCATGAATACTAAGGACTTCATCTCACCTGCTTGGTTCGACTTCTTGATTCTACTGATAGATTGTTGTAAGTGTAATGAGCTTGTGTGATTCCACAGAAAAGTACAGCCACAACACCTGTCAAGAGATAAAAATAAGAGTCAATGGGGAAAGATGGGAGGGAAATAACCCTGCTGAGACAAAAATTTAAGTCGACAAACCCAGTTTATTCAACTTCCTGAATATTTTGAAAGTTTCCTATAACTGAAATCTTTGTGTATGGCAAGCTCCCCCTGTCCCCACCACTCATATCAACCTTTCGTTCTCCAAACCCTACTTTCCTTCAAAGCCAAGTCCCTCAACTTTTCCCTTTGCTCAACTTTTAAGGGCAGTCTCATTCCTCCTCTAAACTCTTACTGAATTTGCCACCTGTATTGGGCATTTAGCATTCATCCTCTCAAAGAGATTGTGAGAACTCATTATATACTTTTCTCATATTCCTCTCTGTTCTTTGAATGAATTTAATTCCAAGCCAATGCTTTATATTTTTGCATGATCTGGGGCTTCAGACAAAAACTACCACTTTCTGAACAGGTCGAGAGTACAATTTCATTTATCCAAGCTTGACTGATCTAGATTTCTGGTTAATGGTAACCATTTTGTTGTGCAAGACAACTGACACACATTAAGACTTTGTGAATACATTTACAGATAATTATCAAGGAGCAGAGTTATTTTGAAATGTTGCATATAGATAAGTTGCAGTATTTTGAAAAGATGATGTGAAGACTTTCTAACTATCTGGATTATGTAGTTTTTCTACTTGAACTTTCTAATGGAAAAAGTCAGCGATTTATTTTTCTCAAGAAAGAATGTGAGTACCATAAATTAAAACTGCATGCTTAACGATGCTAACAATGTATGAAACTGTCACTATGTTGTTGTCATTAGGTGCTATTAAGTCGTCCCCCAACTCATGGTGACCCCATGCCCAGTGGGATTGGACTGTTGTGATCCAAAATAATGGTATTTGAAAGCAGTAATTAAACAGACCAGAGATGAAACAATGAGGAAACATGTGAACACTTATCTGATTAGATACAAAATTACCTTAAAAAGAACACATATTTTGCTTGTTAATGTTACTGCTTATAAAATAACACAGTAATCTAGGGGAAGATACAAATAAGATTTCAACAGATTCAGTAACCTTTGCAGCTAAACATTTACTTATGGTTAGGATGAGTAATCAAACATATAATTGAGTTCAGAATAATAAATTTTATCCTTTTAAAAATTAATTTTTAGAAACTAACTTATTCATTAAGGCAGAACACCAGCCATGCTCATCAATCTCCCATATGAACACTCCTAGAGGAGTTAATCAACTTCAAGTGATGGCTGATTAAGATGATTCCCTCCCTTCAAGCTACCACAGCCCCTGCTACAATGAGAAGAAGGGCAGCCCAAGGACAGACAACCTACCTGTAAACCCACAGGCTTCGGCTAAGAGAAACGTGCTCCAGGACATGAGGAAGAAGAGTGCTGTCTCCAGCAGGGGGAAGCAGTGCAGCTTGGTAAACTTGGTAACGTTAGCACCTGGTCAAGGAACGCAACTCCAGGCACATGGGCTCAAGGTCACCAAGAGGCACACTTTATTAGCTCCGGACTCCCTCCTTAAGGGCTATATTTTCCCTTGACTCTTCTTTTGTGGCCCTAAAACTGCTCCATCTTTTTTAAGAAAGAAAACTTAAGCTTTCTCAAGAAACTAGAAAGTGCTCCTTGCAATTTCCAGGTTCTGAGAGGTACAGTCTTGGCCTAAGGCTTGACTGGCAGATTAGTGCTGGCAGTGCTAGGCATACTTTGGGTAGGTCTAGAAAGACAGGCTGGTGAGACTCTGACCTCATGGCCCACAATGGGCTGAGTCCACAGCAGTTGCTTAATGAAGAAATGTCTGGGAAAGAAAGAAGGAATGTACAACTCCAGCAGCAGCTCCAAGATGCTGGTGTCACTTCTGGGACCAGACATCCCCCTACTAACACTGCCAATCCACATGGGGCCTGCACAGAACCATTTCACAAGCAGTTTCACTGGGTAATAAGTCCCCAGGGCATCCAAAGGGCCACTGTGAGGAAAGCAATCTAAATCTGTGCTGTCTAGTATGTAGCTACCAGTCACATGTAGCTACTACTGAACATTTAACATGTGACTAGTCCAAATCGAGATGTGCTATTAGTGTGAAATATACACCAGATTTCAAAAACTTAGTGTAAAAATTGAATGTATAAAATGTCATTAGTAAGTTTTATACTGGTTGCATGTTGAAATGATGTAGCTTGCATTTGTGACCTGCATTGTATTTCTACTGGACAGTACTGATCTAAACACCCATGAAAGAAGGACTCAGCAGCACATGTGGAGGGGTGGCCTGCTCCTTCCATACCTTGCTTTTATGCTTTTCCTTAACTAAGGTGAAATTTACATAACATAAATTAAAAATTTTAAAGTATACAATTTAGTGGTATTTAGTACATTCACAATGCGGTGCAACCACCACCACTCTCTAGTTTCAAGACATTTGCATCATCTCAACAGGAAACCCTATGCCCATTAAACAGTCACTTTCCATTCCACCCTCACCCAGACCCTGGCAAGCACTAGTCTTGTCTTCTGTCTTCATGATGTTTCATATAAATGGAATCATATAATATGTGACTTTTTGTGCCTTTTGAATTAAGGAAGGCTGACTTCAGTAATTCCTGCTGATAGCCCCCAGCTTGACATGGCCATGTTAACACCACATGGCTCTGAACAGCAGGTGACAGCAGCAATCAAAACTGCTGTTTCCCTTAAGCTCCCTTCTCCAACTGATTCATATGAAAGGAAGAGAAAAAACAAAAGGTGCGGTGCATTCTCAAAAACGTTTTCAGACTCAATTAGCTAGGGACCCAACCTTCATGTTTCACCAAAGGGACACATTTCAGGATGTGTTAACAGCTCAGTGGAACAATCCATTTTGGATTCTTATCTGAAAGGAAAAGCTAAGAACTTTCTTTTTGAAAGTATAACATCACATAAGCATAACCAGGCAGGGGCAGAAACTACAAAAAGGATATTAGAGCAGTCACAACACCGGTCACAGCTCCCATGGTAAAAGAGCCACTAAATATACCTAGAAAAATGCCAACTGACTTAAAAAAGGCAGCAGCATCAAAGGCGTGTGTGTTCAGCCCTGCTGGCTGGTAGGCAACAATAGACCTGGAGTTTAAAAAGAAGAGAGAGTTAAAAGACTACTCTGGCTTTACACCATGGTACCTAAACACATCTACAAACACAGATATCTACGCTCTGCAAGCACTGCCCATATTACATTCATTTAATTTAATCTGTAGTTACCTTGTTACACTGGCATCAGCATTCTGATCACTGCTGACTGGACACAGCAACACAACTTTATCAACACAGCTATAAATCTCATTTAGAAAAAAAGCTGAAGTCAATATCGAACACTTTTAAACAAGTCTCTCCATGTAACCCAAACCATTCAAGAAATCAGTCTTTCTTCCTGGGCAGAAATATTGTTACTTACGAGGAGAGAACAATGGCAACAGCATCATTTAGGACACTTTCTCCAAACAGAAGTGCATAAAGGTCCACGTCTGCATGCAATTCATTAAATATCGCCAGTACAGTCACTAAAAATTCCAACAAGCATATAAATTAGTTTCAGTTTCTAACTTATAACTACTGATTACAGATTTATAGAAGCAATTCCCATCTTAGGTGGGACTGGGTGGTTTGGGAGACAGCAAGGGAGTCAAACATGAGTTATCTGTCTGAGGCAGAAATTAACATGGCAGTATTTCTAATCTGAATGAGCTTTGATAGGATGCTTGATTCTAATAACACGGTACTAAAACACCAGACTTTCCATTGTAATCTCATCACAGGTTGAACATACCCCTATTACAGAACTATTAAAAAAAAAATCATAATGAATTAGGCTCCCCCAATGGGTTGAAACGTCTTTGATGGAGGAACCCTAGATTTACTGCCTCAGAAACCCAATGCGGGTTGCTATGTGTTGGAATCTACTTGATAGCAGTGGGTTTGGTTTTCGTTTTTTGGGGGGTACTCCCAGAACTTAGCATAGACCCAGGACACAGAAAAGGCTTTACTAGAGGTTTCTGGAGTAATGAAATTCTTCATTTATAACAGACTGTACATAACTGACCATCCTATATTTTTTTCAGAATTCTTAGACACTTAAAAATCCGTTAAATCTCTAGATCAGCAGTTCTCAAACTTTTTGATATCAGGACTCCTTTACACTCTTAAAAATTACTGAGGTCTCCAAAGAGATACTGTTT